TAATGAATGCGTGTGGTGGGGGAGCATCTTCAATGAGCCAGGAGAGAGCAGTGGTACCCGCTCATCTAGGGTCTGGCACGCGGCTCTAATGACTTCACCCAGAGACCACCATGAGCCATTTCTCACCACTAACAACAGCAGCACGCTATGGGAGCAAAAGCTGTTTAATTAAGCATTAGACTAATCTCCCTCTATTGAGCCAAACGTCTGTAGGACTCTGAGAGGGGGATATGAGATATTAAATGTTTTGGGTCAAAATGAGAACATGGTCCAGTTCTCTTAAACTGCTGACCTGCATTTCAGTGTAAACAGGAAATTACCATCAACATGAACGGAAGCGTCTTCTTTGTCTCACACGGTTAACAAATGATTTTCATGATTTGTTATCACAACTTTTTTTCTTTTGTCAAATCAACTTAAGATAATTATTGTGGTTCAGATAACATAATATTTGAGTTTCTATTTATTAAACCAATCTCCTTCATTGTATTAACTAAAAAAGATTATTTAATTGAACTCAAAATTAAGGCAACCAGATAACTTACTCTTTTAAGTGAAACCAACAATATTTTTTTTACAGTGCAGCTGTGTAAATGAATAAACAATATACGTGGCAATCAAAAATGGCTTGCAGTATCATTACAACACGGACAGTCCTCCTTTAGTGACCTGGGGTCAAGTGTTACAATGAAGACAAGAGAGATCAGCAAATCTCCAGTCTGTCCCTCTGATCTTTGATCTTATAATGTTAGGGTCATATTTGATACAAAGGTCAAATAACTGTCTAGAAGAGTCAACATAGATCATGTATGCATATAGAAAATGAAAGATATACTCAGATCTAATAGATTTACCTGCTCAAAAGTTCATCTTAGCATGCGGTGCTTCTGATTTCAAGCTCTGTCTGGGTGGGTGGACTAGGGTCAATACAGGGCCTGTAGGAAGTGACTTCATCAGTGAAAAGATGTCAGCTTGTTTTCCTTTTTTCTTTTCCTGTTGTGTTCTGATAGGAACTTCCTCTCCAATGGGGGTGGAAGTAGGTGTCACTCTCCAATCCACCCACACCACAAGGGGAAATGTCCATCACACGCCCGACCAGCCTGACGATACAGTCAACACCAGGGTAAAGATGAGCAGACTTTAGATCCCACGAGTGACGATTAATTAACATTCTGTCTCCGTACAGATGACACCAGGATGACCGTTTCCATTTTTCTCTTTTTTATCTCCAAATGTTTCACGTCCATTCAGAAAAACACATGTAGGCGCGTTTGGAACATGCCTTTAGTGTCATTTCTGGGTGAACTATCCCTTTAAAAGACACCGCAGATGGCGCTGTAAAGGGAAAAAGGTCTCCACAACAAACTGTTTCTGTTGTTCACATATGTACAGTAGCCTCCCTCAATGGGCCTTCATGATCTAAAGCTGCCGATGTTTGTGGTCTGGCTTCTTTCTTCCTGCAGAGTTAGTCACAGAAGCTCAGGTGGCCGTTTTCATAGAGTGACATAACAGCTCTGTGCCTCTCTTCCTCTCTTCGCTGATAGATTGGTAGGAGCAAGTGTCCTGCTGGCGAAGCCCCCAAGCCACAGGAAACCTCATCGGTTGCAGTGTCTAACGAGGATGTGAGCTGTGGTGATGGCATATTAACGCTCGGGCCCCGATGGACAGCGAGAATAAAAAGACAACACGCCGATGATTCAATACAAATTGTTTAAGGTGAAACAATGGTCTCTGCGACTGGCCGTTCAAAGAGTGTGGGAGAGGTGAGTCCATCTGCACTCTGAGGTTTGAAATCTCTGTCATTGTTTTTCAGTTAAATGCCTCTTTATTTTGGTGTATTGTCAGTGGGATTGAAAGTTCAACGCGTTCAAAGCTTTTTTCCTGAGCTAAAATATTTGAAAAGTTGAATATATATATATATATATATATATACATATTCACACAAAAATAGAAAAACATATAAATATTGACTAAATTAATAAATAAAATAAATAAATAAATATATTTTCAACTGTTTTAGCTCAAGGAATAAATGATAAATGCCCAAAAGGCTGAGCTGGTCCATGTTATCTATCGCTCATCAGCAACAGCAGTAATCTAAGAAAGAAACTTTAGCAGAGGCCTTTGAGGAGTTAGCCTCATTGATCCAATGAAATGATGCTCCCCAAACGAACTTCGTTTTGGCCTGATTTTGTTATAAATGACGTAACACCAGTTTGTTCTTTGATTTCGCATGAAGTATATCGGACCTTTACAATGGTGTAAGGTCAATTACTTAAAATTTGCATTTGCAAATTAGCATCAATTACTTCAAATTCTTCACAAGAATTGTGGTCTGATCTGTGGCCTAGTGGACCCTAATACCATTCCCTCAGCTTATCCTGTCCTGTATCCATCATAAAAATGGCAAAAAAATAAATAAAAAAATAAGATTTCAAAATTCATGGTATGGTATCTGATTTAAATGCCACATGCTAAAAGTTTCCCGACGAGACTAAAGAGCCCCAAAATACAATATTTGCGAAGGAGAAACAATAAAGTACCAAATTTTGATTTAATTAAAAATATTTTAGAGACAAGCAGTTATTGAGTTGTTACTGACAAACATAACATTTTTGTCATTCTGCAGTCCTTCCTCTCTATCGGTGCCTTTTCATATTAATTTTTGTTCTTTTGGCACAAAAACGCTTTAATTAGCTTTGACTGAAGCACGATTGACCTCTCGTGTGGCCGGGGAATGAGTCCTGACAGCACTGTGCAGGTGTGAAGTAAAACAGGAATCAGTGTAGCACCTCCGCTGGTGTGTCAAGAGCCTGCAAGTCAGGAGATCCCCATGGGGCTGAACAAGTGTGTGTGTGTGTGTGGGAGAGACACGACTAGCACGAGGTCCTGTGGCTGACAGCAGCTCCCCTGCCAGGATGTGTAACCTCACACGGCCAAAACAGGAAGCCCTGCCACTCACTTAGTGATTGACACACTGGCGGAAGTTCATAAAGGTTCCAGAAGGGCTGTAGTCCATGTTCAAGGGTTGGTGACTGGGCCACCTGGTACAGTGCAATGAGGACGAGAGTGCTCTCGTTACATATGAGCATACTTGCCTGTCCGCCAGTCCTCCTCTGGGTCAAATAGTGCTGTGATAAATACTGTCATAAATACCCTCATAAAAAAAAATGTTATATGTAAAATAAAATAAAATAAAGAATGTGCACAAAATAAATCAATAATATTCTCTATTTATAAGCATCTCGACACAGCAACAGCCAAATCTGTTTGGAAAAAAACCGAAACAAAAATAAAGCACAACAAATCTAAACTATAGAAAACAAACAAATAAATAATAAATAAAATAAATTAATGAATAAAATAATGGTGGAAATAAATAAATAAATGGAAAAAACCCAACCAAAAAGCACAGCAAAACAAAACAAATATTTCTCTATTTTCTGAGCATCTCGGGAATGCAAAACTAGCTAATGAGTGAAGCAAACGAAAAAAAAAAGCAATCAATAAACTAATGCTATAAATAAATGAAAAACAACACAAAAAGCACAGCAAAACAAAATAAACCAAAGAAAGCAACATTAGCTTATGGGTGAAGCAGACCTGTTTGAAAACATAAGATGAGAAAACAAAACAAAAAACTATGCAACAGACAAAAGAAAATAATAAACATTAGCGAAGGGGTAGAGAGACTGAAAAACAAAACAAGTGAAAAACAAAAGACAGTGAGGCCTTTGAGAGTCAAAAGAAACTCCAAAGAGGCTTTTTAAGTCAAACGAGATCAATATGTGGAGATCTCAGCGGTGGAGATCTGATCGGGTAAGAGCGAGAGCAGGCTGCCGCCTCACAGCTGAGAGCGATCATGACTCTTGCATCATGGGATATGTCACTGTATGACACAATGCTGTTCACACTAAACTGCCAATTATCAGCAAGCCTCGCCCTCCTCTTCTCACTTCTCGCCGTGTGCGCGCCCTGGCCTGTGACCTTGACGAGGACCGTGTACACTTCACACTGATTCACCCCTCTGGGAATCTGGACATTTCCATTGTAAAGCCTCAAGAGTGAATTGAATTGTGGTATTAGATTTTTGTTTACAGTGTGCAAAAAAGCAATGATCAGAACACAGTATCTCAGACCACCCAAACGAACACAAAATATGTGAAGTTGAAGTATGATGTATTCAGGGGGAAGTAATTTTAGAAATTTGTAATCAGAATCATGTTTAAAGTGTGAACTTATGAAAGTATAAACTTTATATTAATATTTATATTAATACTACTAGTCTGACACTAGAGATACAGACATAATTTTTTTGTCGGCCACCAGAGGGCTGCTGTCTTTGCTGATCGCTCTGCTTCCTCTGAGTGTAACATGTTTTAAGTGAATATGGTTATTATTTACTTCTTATAAATTATTTATTTTTATTTTCAAGATACTTCAAATGAATAATAGGTTGCCAACAACACTGAAGAATAACTAAAATGCTACTGTAGTGCTAGAAAAAGTAGTTTTATATACTGTAATCTGATGTTATATTATACATAAACCAATAAATATTTTAAAAATCCAACCTGAAATATGTCATTTTTGATAGATTTTACTTCATCCCAGTTTTAGATTAATTCAGTGTTGTTCACTGATTCATTAACCATTTCTGAAGGTTACAACATTAGTGAGTCTGTGAATCATTCTCTATACCAATGTGTAATTTTTTTCTGGTGATAAAACTGGCACATTTTTAAAAAAGGGACAAACTTCAGAACGAAACACCACTACAGTGCTGCAAACTAGTTTCAAGGTAGCTTCAACACACCATGAGAGGAAACCAAAGTAAAAACAAAATAGTATTTATCGGTACTGGTACACATTTTTGAGCTCGGGCAAAAGGGTTTGGTATCATTTTAGTGTCAGGGGAAGCAAATTGATTTTCTTTTCAGATGTCAAATAACCTTGAATCCTTATTGATAGATGGGTGCAGAAGTGGCGTGAGGTCTTACCTGTCCAGAGAGGTGGACACTAGTGTCAGGACATCGCAGGTCTTCATTCAGGTTGTCATGGACACAGAGGAGGGACAGATGTCCTGCGAAGTCACATGACAGTCACAATTAATCAATGACCCAGAAAGGCAACAAACAAAAAAGATTTGTGGTTAAAATATGCAAGATGTTACAAATAAACACCTGTTGCAAATTATAAAATGCTTATCAAACTGGATGTCACTCTTCTGTTCGACTGTCTTGCCAAAAAACAGCCAAACAATCCATCGTGCAAGCTAATATTTCACTGCACATCGATAAAGTACAAGCTATATTTTTAAAACCTTTATCAAACGCCCTCAGAAAAAAAGACACAAAACATCTATATGGCATAAATTCCTCAAATTTATGGCCGACTTGTGTTTAGATGCTATGATAGTACTGTAGGGATGAGCACAATCTTTGCCTCCCATCCCAGAGGGCTCAGTCACCAATTGGTGGGGTCTTTGTGTGCCCATAAATCTGGGGACATTTCATAATAGTCATCAGGCCAGTGAGCGGCATGTACAGAATACATACCAGGCTTTGTGCATCAGTGCTACGGTTTCATTCAAGAGTCACTTACTATTAAAGTGGGAAGTCAGATAAGCGTTACAGAAGCTTATCCTTCGAAATAAACAATCACAGACTTCCACATACAAAGAACAGTCGAGTTGTGTAAGTGGAACAGACGGGTGAGAGCTCGGCTTCACTTTATGTCAAATCTCCACTTTACAGTACAAGGCAAGCAGTAACAGATATCTTTGTATGTGTGAAATTCTACATTAGAGGATGTCCCAAAGGGAGGTTTCACCAGATTTGGCCAAGTAAACCCAATTTTGTCCCCAAAGAATAGCCCCCTCAGCACACAGAACTGTCATGGTGGGAAAGCGGCCTGCGTCAGGATTAATCTCCTGCAGAGGAGGGTGGGTCAGGGCAGCCAGAACTCATTTGGTGTGTTGCTGTGAAATGGCTGCCCATCAGGAATATCTTCATCTATCTCTGTCTCATCTACATGGGTGGAAATGGAGGGATGAAGGGCTGTAAGGAGAGAGGGAGGGTGAAAGAGGCGTCCAGAGGAGAGAGGTCAGTGCATTCAAAGAGTCCATCATTCTGATGTGTCAAGCGTCTCTTAACCGAGTTTGTGGAAATGTTGGTGTGTATTCAGCGATATGCTGTTCTGAGATTTTAAGTGACTCTTTGACAAATAAAATGTGAGAAAACACGCCATTCCACAAAGTTACAAATAGCCAAAAAACAAGGGTTACGATACTACGAGAGGCACTAAATTCAACGGCAAAAATAGTGATTGTTTCCAAACAGGTTTCTAAAACACTCCCCCCTCTGCAATCATTCTGGGCTGTTACTTTCTGAATTGGCAGTCTTACATCAGCACTTTAGAAACTTCAAGGTTTCAACACTGGCCCAAGATCTCAAAGTAGTTATGATAAAACAGTACCAGCTGAGGTAAACAGCTAAGGGTAAACAGAGTGTAAAACCCAGAGGCAGATTTAGTTCTGGACCATCTGTTCAATTCATTGCAATCAGGCAGGCGTAATGCCAGATACCTGAGTGCAGAAATAGAGAATGAAATACCTGCAGGTGCTCAAGAGACAATGAAAAGCTCAGTTTTGCTGCTGTTTCTTATCCGCTTTTATTGTCATTGGTGGTGACAAATACTGGATGATTGAGGAATTGTTTTGTTTTTTTTTGACTAAAATGTTATAAAACAGATCCTGAATGCTGATTGGTTAATTATGGAAGCTTGTTTCCGCCAAAGAATAAAACATAAAAAAGGTAAATGCGAGTTTATATCACGTGATTCTAACACCTTTTCTCAGAATTGTGAGATATAAACTCGCAAATTGCGAGTTATAAAATATTTATATCTCGCAATTCTGAATTTACGGAACGCAATTGCGAGTTTACATCTCGCAATTCTGACTTTATTTCTCAGAATTGCGTGATATAAAGTCGCAATTGCGTCTCGAAAATTCAAAATTAGTGAGATAAAAAAAAAAACGCAATTATCTTTTAAAATGTTTTATTCTGTGGCAGAAACAAGCTTCCATAGTTAATAAAGCCTACTAATCTCAAAGTGTACGCTAGGGCATGCGTAGTGTGATGTAATTTCATTAGCATGTTGGTACGCAAGTGATTTTTCTAACCACACATACTCTGTACGCTCAGCTTGCATATGTGCCTAGAATTTTTTTCGCTAGTTAGTTTGTCTACAAGGTGGCATCACTGTCCCTGTCCGTTGTTTCACAGTTGAAAAAGAAACGAAACAACAACAAACCACTGGAGATGCAACAACAACAGACAGCCGCATTAAAGAGCGATTGTGTGAGAAAATGAAGAAATACATGGAACTCTAGTTTAAACTAGTACAAAGGCATTTTACTGTTAATAACTATTGTAGAGAAATAGAGCAGACACTGGACAAGGGTAACATTTTCCAGTCTGCAAGTGTCGGCCGTCTGGGTTCGCGCACGCCATCAAATGGACTGAACTTTGAAAGCTGTGCGCTCAGCTGTATGTGTACGCAAAGCATCCACTTCAAAAGTTAAGTATATTGTGTGCTTTAGCTGCCCCAAAAAACAGTGTAGTAACAGCTATGAAGCAAACCACCAACAATACATAAAATTAAGTTCTGTGAGGTCTTATTGTACGAGGGACTATTGAGAAATGAGTAATGGAAAAAATCTCTTAAAAAGTCTCATCTGTTTCTCAGACTGATTTCAGTTTCTACATCTGCAAATGTCAATGGACCTCAACATAAGCTGACATGAGGTATTCAATAATTTCAGAAGACCTGGTAAACCTTCAGAGTTGTCAGGAAGTTTTTACTTTCTGGAAATATCTGACTGTGTTGTCTCGGCCTGCTCTCTCCAACTTTGAGAGAAGCCAGGCACTACAGGATAATCACAGTTTAATAGGAGCAAATATTGAAAGCAGGAGCTGACCAACCAGATCCCCTTTCCTAGCGCTCTCTCCCAGTGCGCCCGAGAAAAACGCTAGCACATGGGTGCCTAAGAAATCGATAATTCCATGATATATCAATTAACGTGAAAAAATAGAGGAAACTGAATTGACATTCGTTCATTGTTTAAGTTGGAATCGTCCAGTCGAAGTGTTGGAAAAGCAGCTCTGTTGAAAAATCTGACAACCTTGTTCAAGCAAAACAATTCACGTATAACCAATCTAGAGTTTCACCATGAAAAATTTGACGAAAAAAACGTCCAAGACGAAGTCCGCATGATTGAATTGATGTCCTTTTTGTAATGTACAATGTGTTTTTTACGTACTTGTTCTTTAGATGAACTTGTGAGGTACGCTTTCCCTCTCAGGCGTCCTATTTGCCATGCAGAGCCGTTGCATGCTGGGAGAGGGAAATGTCCACAGACTGGGGCCTCTTTCTAATGATTTCCCACACCTGCACATCTGCTGCCGTTTTAATTAATACTCTAAGGAGGTTTGTCACGGGTAATCAAAAACATTGTCACTTATGAAATCCTTCATTATAGAACAAAAATCAATACTTTACATGAGTAGAATGAGGCGCTCATAAAGTAGCCCACATCACAATAAAAAAATATAATTAAGAAAAAGCAGGATAAAAGTGTAGAAAGACTTTATTTGGGGCGTTCGCCACTCCAGGGTTTTTTTTTTTTTGGTTTTTTTGTCTGTGAAGCAGCAACACGTGGTGAAGGGCTGGGCATCATTTTCATGCAGGCCTTGGTTCTTCAGCTTCATACGGGTGGAAAGGGTGGGGGGCGGCACGACAAAGGCAATAGTCGCATCAGCTCTCTTCAGCTCTGCAGCATCACTACAACCTCTCTCCTCGCTGATTTATGGCTCACCGCTGACCTCTGAGGTCGTAACATGGTGATGGGTGACTGGCTCTCAACGGTAAGCTACTGGCACTTGACAAAGTGCCGAGAGCAGAATGAATTTACTCCTCTTTTCCTCAATCATCAACAGGCGCACGCCGGCTTGCTGCCCTGACCCCCTCTCATCCTGACTGCTATAACAAGATCTCCCATCTCATGGAGGAGCGAGGGAGAGGGAGGCTGAAAAATTTACTGTCATTTCTACTTTCCAATGAGCTCCGGTGAGCACTTCTTTCACCTTCAAGTCGCTTCGCGTGCTGAGGATAGGGAGGGGAGGGATGGTTTTTTGGGACGGGGGCGAATGTTCTTTGATGCACCTGTCTAACTTTGGGTCATTCACTAGAGGTACTTCAATCTGCGTTTGCTTCCATCAACTTGATAACGGCACCTGAAAGCAAGTTCAATTTAATAAGCAAATAAATCTCCATAAACGTGGACGTTTCACGTACCTCGTTCATCAGCGGCGTCCACCATGATGATGTGCCAGTTAGCCGCAAACAAATTCTTACTAACGCATTCATTAACGGCATATGCAAAAAATCCATTCGGTTACTTCGCCTTTTATTGTCGCTAGACCAGCGCTGGGTGGGGGATTGTAAATTTAGGCAATATAAAATGCATAATTTCCTAAAGTAGGGATTTAAATTATCCGGCAGTGCAAATGTTGGCCCATTGTGGCAGGCGAGACACAGTGGGTTATAATTGAAAATAAAAAAGCCATTTAAAAGACATTCAATAAGCCACTGGGAAATTGATCAGGCTATAAAATCTGTCGCTACCGGGGCGAGAGGCTGGCACTCTTGCAGAGACGCTGCTTCGGTCCTGACACAGCACTATCCCTGCAGGCTTCACGGTCTACATGCCGACATACAAACAAGGGATGCCGCGGAAGTAAACTTCCCGACGGAGATGCTTTCCCTATGTCCTCAGGCATGCATTTAAATTGTGCGAAAAAATAACAACAGTGCTGTAGTTTGTAGTGGAAGCTTCAGACTCGCTGTAGAAAAATTTGGAAAAAAAATATTTCCCTCAGTAGCGAGTGGTAAAAAAATGACAGAAGAGTGCAAAAGCGGGCACAAGTGCACGGGGAGAAGAAAAAAAATACCCCTCCTGCTTCTTTAACTTTCAATTCTGCCAAGCATCTCTGCTTCACAGCCCCTGGCTATTGCCTT